ACTTCGGTTGAATCGCTGATTCCTTCTCTTCAAAAACTGTCGTTTATCATTCAGCTGTTTAACTGAACCAACACCCGCGTCCATGAACAAAAAATAACTGCCGTGAAAACTGCATAGTCGCGCCTTGCTTTTCTTTCAGGGTGGAAGACAGCTTTTTGCTCAGGGATTTTTTGATTAGCAAAATCTTTCTGGTTGAAACTGTTTTTACTATTATCAATTCATTTTCAACGTTGCATATTCTTTTTAGTATGTTATTTTCAATTTTGTTTTAGTTGTAAAAGGTATTTTATGATCTATAGAGAGAATTGCGGTTTTTCATCTGTGCGATTTTTTGTGTTTAAGGCCGAAACCTATGCTTTAACATGACTTTGTAAATGTTTGTTTGCTGTTACATTATATCACTATTACGTTATACCAACAAAATCGAAACATCATTCGAAAGGAAAACATGCTTATTTGTAATCACTGTTTCTTGCCATTGTGCATTCATAACATATCGCTTATAAGGGTCAAATATGCTTAACAGCTCTGGTTGTCCTTGATTACTGACATCTGACACTAAAGGTCATTTTTCGAATACTTTAAATAATAGCTGATTCGGCAAAGGATATACTATTTATCGCGACAGATTCGTAATGCATTTTTCTTTGCAGAGCACTGTCCCTTTCATCATCAATTGCAGATGTTCGGCATTTCTACTTCTGTCAACAAAGTTACTTTTGGGGACGGTGACGTATCGGTTCACAATTTGGTGTAAACATCGCGCAGGGCATCCTGCCCAGGCACTACTTAGTGTGGTCGCTAGTTTCCAGCCATAGGACTTATATCAATGTCTCATAGCCAGTGCAAACGTATGATGGGTAGATACTGTGGAGGGCTTTGCAACAGCTACTTGGTGGCGGCAAACTACGTCAATGATGCTGAGTAGGATACTCCACAGAATTCGGTAGCGGTCGTGTCAACTGACGTTGAGAAAGATACGTCAACTTTTCACATGGAACACCTGAAAATAGCTGACATTTTTTCGAATCATCCAGTTCTCGGTTGCGTACTGCAGCAGCGGGCAATGTTTTCCGGCCAGGGTAATTTCCGGTCGATATGGAGATGAAGAAAGGTTGACCATAAGAAAACAAACTGAAGAATCATCAATCGTTCAATCCAATTCGAAAGGCTTTCACGAGGGAACCGATACAGAGCAAACTCTAACTAGGACACTGGCGTGCAGCATATAAGATCAAAGACGACGTGCTTTCAGAGGAACTATTACTTCAAAGATGAAGTAATCAGCGCCTTGCATAGGATACCAAGCTGCATATTTCATTATGACAATTCATCTCTAACCAGTGTAATCCAATTCTCTGAAAGATTACTGATTCATGCATAAATTAGACTGAGGAGCGTGAATAAAAAGATTACGTGCAAAGACAATGCTGCATCCGAAAATTCATCATACTGGTATTACATATTAACTGAGAAACTGCCTCGAGCGACCTTCGCACGAAAAATATTTTACTGTATCACAATATATTGGCCACAGTAAACGAGTTAAGGAAAGGGCATCAAAACCACATTTAAAGAAACCGGCTCAAGATAAAATACGGCATGCATCTGACGCAGCATCCTCCTGCGTCAAGTGCTGAATAAAGTGCCATCAGCAAACAGATGGCATAAAAACCTGTCAGGAAATGAGGGTTTTCTTGTTCTTAAAAAATTAATTATCAAATCAAAACAAAACCAGGAAAAAGTACTACTTTCGAAGCAGCGAATCTTGCGGCTCGTGCGGATGATGTCTGACTGGCGTCGGTGTCTGACGATTCGTGAACGACGACACTCTTCTGCTCCTTAAACATTTCGTCGCTCTGCCCGTTGTGGTATTGCGGTTGCTTTCGCTGAAGCGTTTGCTTTTTAAAGACATGCTCGGTGATGTTAGGAATCCCCATGCATTCCTCCTTGATGCCAGCCACGGAATCGTAGTTGAAATCGCTCATTTCATCGTCTCCTAAAAAAAACAGCCAGTGAGAGATCATTTCATTTTACGGAGCATTTCAGAATCTTTCAATTACGCAGATGTAACAACAGCAATTAAATGATCTTTTTTTACAATTAACGGCAGTTTTCATTCCCAAGTTTCCATGCTCAATTTCGTCTGTTTGAGTGATTTTCGGAGACAAGATTTGGATTTCTATACCCTTCCTAAGCCCATACCTTATATATACCTCCATACCCTTGTACCTCTACCTCTATGCCTTATCTGGTCTCATCTCAACCAAGGACTACAGATGCGATCTTATTTTATTCACAGAAAATTTCAATGTTATGGGCTAAATCAGAAAACAATGAATCGCCATTTCGTCTAATACAGTTAACAAAATTGTAATTCTTTTGTCAAGAATACATAAATGACACGTTTTATCTTAAAACCATTTTCTGGAAACGCTATGAATACTGCTTACGAATGCATTCTTCACCGCTTGAAACCAGCGTTAACTGATCGCCATTTCTGTCACTGTAAATAACACTACTTCGCTAGTTTAAAATTCACAGAATAAGGATTTCAGAAATGTACAATATATACTGAAATACCAGTAATATAACAGTTAACATGCATAATCATCTCACAACAACCACACATGCGGTTCTTTAGTTTAGTCGTACCAATTTTAGTTCTGTCATTTGCAGTTACTGAAGAACAAAATTCAGCTAGTTCAATGAAACTTGACTCATATGATCGATATTAGCATTTAAACTACTGCTTTCAAACTGTCTCACTTCTAAGGAGTACACAACACTAACCAACTACACATCTGAATACTGAGCAAAGCTGAAGATGACGATCAAATCTCCCGTACGGGTCTTGAAAAGGTAAAGTTGGTAACATTCAACCAAACCGCAGTAGCTGAGCATAACAAAGAACAAACCCCATCCGCTCAAATCTCAGAGCCTGGTCAATGTCGCTGTTCAGGAACGCTGACCGAAATATGAGGTTAGAAACCATAAACACGACTATAAATGCCATAAGTACAAATAAGAAGTATAAGACACCGTTATGCGAACTTACCCTGTCGACCATTGTCGCTGCTGCAGTTTCCGTCGCTTTCGCTTGAAGCTAAATTGCTGCTGCACCAATTAGAGTGTAAAATCATGTTCCCAAACAAGTTTACTGTGCTCCGTCGTGGTCCATGCTGCTTTCAGAGTTTAGTCGGTCCGGGCGCGTGAAAAGAACGTTTTTATTCGAGTGAAAACTTCGATGGTGCAAAAGACCCGTAGATGGAAGATCAATTTCCATAGATGAATCTTGCTTCCTAAAAACTGATCCATTTCTTGACACTGAAGCGCCTCCATAACCATCAAATTTAGAATTTACGTATTTATTAAAACGAAAGATTGAAGCTTCATATAACCATCTAGTGATTATCACAATATTGAAAAAAATGTATACTGTAATAAACTGCCATCAGATATACACAGCTATTACAACATCTATTGCAGTAATATACTATTACAAATAACAGTAAATAACCTACCACTACTGCCAGTAACGACGACGGCGTTAGTAGTGAGAATGTGCAAACTACTATTTGTATTTATATATACATGCTACTACATAAACGCAGCACATCATACTAAATATACGTAAATATACATTGCTACATAAAACAGTGACATAATAGTTGTAGCACTGACAATTATGCACACATTTTAATAAAATGCCATCAAATATATGCATGGAAGTCATAGCATATGTTGAGTAGTAGAATAGCATAAACTACAATAAATAATATCTCAGTACTATCAATACCGACATAAGTAGTAAAATAAGTGATGGCCATCTGTCACGTCTCCCCCCCCTGGGTTGCAGATGGGGGAACGACCTTAACATTTGGAGGTTAGTTGCGACAAAAAAGCAGTCGCGGACCCGCAATGGTGAGACAGCAGGAATGAGATCGAAAAGCTAGTTCATTAGAAAAAAGTCACAATGTCTAATGGCTGTCTCATGATGAAGCGAAATGACTCGCTTCTTAGAAGAAAAAGACCGTTAATGCTACCTTTTCCCTACAGAAAATAAAACTTGGAATTCGAGGACCCGTCTGCTGGAAATTCACCAGACCACTGTTACCCTACCAAAGAGCAGCAAAACTTCATACACTATAACG